CCTGCTCCAGCGTGGGGCCCTCCCCGGACTGCAGGTGGAGATCTGCTCCCCCGTGGGCCTCCCTGGGCTGCAGGGGCACAGCCTGCCCCACCATGGGCTGCCCCAGGGGCTGCGGGGGAATCTCTGCTCCAGCGCCTGGAGCTCCTCCTGCCTCTCCTGCGGCACTGGCCTGGGGGGCTGCAAGGCTGCTCCTCTCACATATCCTCACTCCTATCTCAGGCTGCAGTGGTGCAGCAACTTTTCCCCCTTAACTATCTTATCTCCAAGGCACTACCACCATCGCTGGTGGGCTCAGCATCGGGTCCATCTTGGAACCAGCTGGCATTGGCTCTATTGGCATAGGGGAAGCTTCTGGCATCTTCTCACAGAAGCCAACCTGCTACCAAAACCTTGCTATGCAAACCCAATACACAGGTCAACAACCAAGAGGGCTTAATTATGAGTAGAGACCGGTTAATCTTCTTTCCAAAGTCTTTTGTTCACTGAGTATGCAGTGATAAAATGACTCAGACTACTTCTGAATCGACACTAGTTTCTGAAAAATACTAATGGGTTATGTAAAAACAGTCTGCTCCAATGTTTTCTAAACAAAAAGCCTTAATTATTTATTCTGAAAGGAAGTATGAGGCCAAATTTAGCTCTGTCTCATTAAAAAGAAGTTTAAAGAATCATCCTAAACCACAAACAAAATGTTGTTTTGTCTAACTGAATATTTATTGTCCCAAACCCACAAAAAAAAAATTCCCAGTTACCAGCCCCAGCCCCACAGCCACAATATTTGGGGTAAAGCCAGAGTGTTTGTCAACTGACCAAAGTCTTTCCAGTATCATAGGAAGTATTGATCTGCAGAGGGATTTACATGACAAAAGGAGGTGTTTGGACATACCAGCCCGAGAAAGAGTGGATTCTCCACTTTCAAGGAATTGCAGGAAAGAGGACTCAGAGATGTTTGTGGGAACATCAGTGATACAGGCCACGAAGAAGCAAAGTCACTGGGACGAGATTTATACGAGGCTCTGGAGATGTCACCTAGCTCCCACAGGTGAGTTACTAGAGGCAAAGTGGATGCCAACGTGATGGGAGCAAAGGAGAAATTGCGTTATAGAGACAGGCAAGTTTTACGCGGGTGCTGTGGGTAAGGGAGGCCTGGCCTGATGCCTGCCTGATTATGGGACGTTATTTTAACCCAGAACATCAAACCTGATGAATTCTCTGAGTTTACTCCACCGTCAACATGGGCTGACACCAGGTGCTTGGCAAAGGCATTTTCTGTGTTTTCGGTTTAATTGCTGCAAATCAGCCTCCTAAAACACCCACGCGGTGGCAGCAAGCCCTCGAGGAATCATGATTTAGGATTTTTGGAAAGAAATTGGCTAAATATAACCAGTTTCAATATTCCAGACATGTATATTTAGAGGGGCTGGAACTTACTGTACCATTAAAATTATAAACTAAAAGCCACGAGCGCTCTGCCTGGCGGCGACAGCTACAGGAGTGTGCATTTCATTTTATTTTGCTTGTTCCTTCAGAGCCCCTAGAAAACCCTTTTCCAGGAGGAGCGTTCCCAAATTATGTTAGCAGCACAGGCATTATATAAACCGTAAGGAGGGAGAGAGCCACGCATCATGTAGCAGAGGTCTCGTCTCCCATCAGGGCACACGGGAGCTTGCACAGACGTGTTAAAGCACCAGCACAAATGTCATGGGTAAGAGTCCATAGGAGCTCCCATATTTCCCTGTCTTTGTGGGCTGGCAGGAGCCTCCGGACCACATCAGGCAAGGGCCTTGTCTCAGCTCATGCCTGCTCTCTGGGAGAAGGCTACACAAGCTTGCAATGGACCGCTATGAGATACGGCACATCAGGGTCATTTCTCATTCACAGATTCATGAATGCTGAAGTCAAGCAAATAAACAGAATAAAAAAAGGGACTGGACATTTGCATGGGTATGGGGCATATCCAGAGGTGCTGAGCTAATGACAGCGATGTTTGGGAAGGGACGTGTGTCCTCATGGGGTTGGGCTGTAGCTGATCATTAATTTGTTTCCCTGACTTGTGCTCGCATCTTGCTGCCTGTTATTTAGGGAGTGCAAGGCTTCCCAGTTACACTGCCTGGCCACTGGTTTGGCATGGAAATGCCAGCACCAGACCTGGCTTCGCTGAATTATGTGCCTATGCCAGGGCCAAGAGGCATCCACTGGTGTTGCCCCCTGCCTCCTCTCTCCCCACCAGCAGCCATGTAGCACTTGGGCCCAGAAAGTTCAGCAAAACTTGCTTTTTTTATGTTGCTGCCATGCTGATCTCACGTACTGTCCCTGCCACGTCAGCCTGTGAAGGCACTCCGCACCTGAGTCCAGCCTGGGGAAAAAAGACCACTGTTTTTTTTTTTTCTCCTAGGGCTGTTTGTGCCAAGGATGCAGAAAACCAGATACCCTAGATCTGGGGTCTCTGCCAGCTCTCCCTTCAGGCTGACAGAGGGTCCTGCTGCAGGAGTACATTTTCCAATTGTTTTTTCATTAGCATATGTTTTATAGCGCCATAATGTCAAGTGCTATTTTTGGCTATGACTTCACACCAATGCCTTTGGAAAGCCACACAACACAAGGAGAAGGAGGGAGGAAACAGCCCAGATGATCTGTCCTTATAACTTGAGCATGTGGGAAGCATCATCCTTTCAGCCTCCACAGAGATACAACCCAGTCATCAAGAAGTGATTCCTGCTCTGAGCTTTGACTAGATGGCCACCTCCTCTGGACCAAGGTCTGAATGGGAAATGAGGCTGAGGAGTTAGAAATGGTGCCTGGAGGCAGGTGGTGCTCTGGCTAGTTTGAAGCAGGAGATGGCAAAGTGGTTGTGGAGGGACGGATGGAGGGGTGAAGTTTGTCAGAGAGACAGATCAGTGTTTCTTCTGGCACACAAGGGCAAATAAGAGGATGTGTTGCTGAGGAAATGGGTGGCAGGTGGAAGTGTCAGCCCTACAAAACAAGTGGAAATATTAAGGCACTGGGTAAAATCTGACTGAGAACTGAATACAATTCCAATCTCGTTGGCAAAGGCTTGCAGTGCTGCTGAATTGTGACAGACATGCTCCAAGCTCTGCGTTTGGGAGCACGGAACAGAAAATTGAACACACATGGAACATGGGACAAGGACTTGGGTCATATTTTGGGACTGGCTTTTGGATCATCTGTTTGCGCCATGTAAATAGAAAGGACGAGTGGACTGTAAGCGGCACCAAGCTAGCTGTGATGTGGCCGTCGCTTCCTACAGACTGGTGACTGGTAGGCTGCTGCTGGATTATATTAATTTTCTGATCTTGGAAATGGGATTCTTCTCTGCCTCTTCAATGCCACCTTGTGGTAAATGTAAGAAAACACTGACTTTATGTGAAATGTATTTGCAGTAGGAGGTGGTTATATGGGGGGCTGATCGGCCTCATCAGGCTTTAGTTTTTTGCTTAGACAAAATGCAGTCTTAGGGATGAGTGTATTTGTGTGTGTTTTATTGCTGACCCAGAATGGAGTCTCTATGTAGAAAACAAAAATGAGAAGGCTGGCAGTGCAACCGTCACAACTGATGGTTAATATTTGTAAATCTTACAAACAGCACAAACAGCAAACCCCAGTATATGGTAGTGACAAACAAATCATGGGAAAGGAAAATCATAAATATTTTGCAGTAATTTACCTGCCCAGCAGTGTCATATAGTCCCAGCAAGTGTTGTTGTCCTCCCACAGTCACAGTTACTGTAAGAGAGAAACAAGAGATGTTGTTTTATGCACAAGCCAGTGGCCTCATTTTTATGTGTTTTAGTCCTAAAATGGCAATACATCCCTGTGCTGGACACATTAGTGCATATCTTGCAACATGCATCTTAAACCAAGCATATAAATTCAACTCAAATTGAAGGCAACCAAAAGTCACAACAGAAGCAAATTCTTTATGCCAAGCTCTTAATTCTTCACAGCAGATGAGCTGCACACATTGCTGCTATCAGGGACCCAGACGCCAGTGGACATTTGCTTCTGCCTCTGCAGCCGCCAGCAGACCTCTATGAGGTGCTAGGACTTGGAAGCACAGGATTCCTGCCTCCCTGCCATGAGCATTGGGTTAGGTTTGTCATGGATCATTGAGAGGGGTTTTTTGTTATTTTATTCATTCCAGGCTGTGAAACAATGAAGCATTCAGCAGAGGTTGATGGGTCTCAATGGAGGTGAGCTGCCTCTTGGGCAACCTGTCCTGTCCCCAGGTCACGCAATCTCAGGTGGCAGTGCTCAACATACGGGGCTGTGTGGTGGATGCTTTGAAGGACGGGGAGGAAGAAGGACACTAATATTTGCAGGGATGCTGAACAGATTCTGTTGCAAAAGAAGGAAAGCATGGCTTGGTTTATTGGTCACACTCAGCATGTTTACTCCTTTAGCAGAATTCACTTTGAACTTCATTTTGAGCCCACTGACATTGATGAAAATGTTTTCTCATTGCCTTTGGATGAACCCGGTTATTAGCTGATCTCTGTAATCAGTGTTGTTTTGCATAAAGGATAAGATCTGTGTTAATGACATTTAGTTAACCAGTTAATCTGCTTAAATCATTACTACTCAACTGGAAAGAAAGGGGGGGAATCCAGTTCCACCCATTATTCAACAGGAACACTTCAAACATTCAACAGGAAAGATGCTCAAAATAATGGCCTTCTTGCAGCCCATGGACTACTACTACTTTTAAGCACAAGGGCAAACGCCTGGTATGAACACAGAGCTATGGCTGGGGGGAGGCTAAGGCTGGTGCCTGTTGGCCAATAATGACTTGCAATTAATGAGGGCTGGGAAAGATTAATAATTACTTTTGGCAAAATGGAGGCTTGGAAACATCACATAGGTTCTTACTGATTTTTTTTAAGTGATAAGACTTTTGTAGGAGAAAAGCCCCTACCAGCTTATAAAAGTTAATAGCTCCTGCACTGGGGAACAATGTCCTGTTTGAAATCTCTTAGACTTGAAGTCTCTGTCAGTGTGGCTGGACAGGCTGATTATTCAGCAGCTTTACTTGCTTGCAAAGTGACACGGTAATTTTGCTGGCATATAAAAAGAACAAAACTGACATCCTGAAAGCACAAAGGCTCAGCGAGGACCCGACTTGCTGATGAGAGCAGGACGGGCTGCCCTCACCCACTGCTGGGGCTGCCTTGTGATGTGCCGGGGCAAGAGGGAGTGGGAAAGGGGCCAAGAGCCCTCCCCCCCACTCCTCAGTTCAGGAGGGAGCTCATATATGGTGCAGCCCCTAGGGGAACTCAGAATGGGGCTAGCTGTTGACCATGGATGCCCATGGGTGGAAGAGCTCAGGGAGGGGAGATGGGTCCTAATACAGGCAGGAGATAGTCCAGATCATAGAATCATAGAATTGTTTAGATTGGAAAAGACCTTTAAGATCATCAAGTCCAACCATTAACCTAATACTGCCATTCCACCACCGTGAGGTACATGTCCCTAAGCACCTCCTCTGCCTGTCTTTTAAATACCTCCAGGGATGGGGACTCAACCACTTCTCTGGGCAGCCTGTTCCAGTGCTTAACAACCCTTTCGGTGAAAAGTTTTTTCTGAATGTCCAACCTAAACCTGCCCTGGTGCAACTTGAGGCCATTTCCCCTCGTCCGATCGCTTGTTACCTGGGAGAAGAGACCAACATCCACCTCACTACAGCCTCCTGTCATGTAGTTGTAGAGATTAGAGATGCCCTATCCCCTTCCTTCAACCTGACTTGAATAAACTAATTTGAACCAAACCTCCCCAGAGCCCTGGTTTTCAACTTTTTGTGGTGTAGGGAGTCTCAAAATGCCCCATTAGAGGTATGAACCGTACAAGTCTACTGACCCTATGTTTGCTTTTGTTAGATCCCTTCTCAGAAGCGGTGGAGGCCACAGGTGGTCCTGCACAGCTTACTGGAGGCAGCTGGGAAGTGTGAGGTTTTTTCCAGTTGCAACCTTGCCCAGCCTTCAACCTGCCCGTATGTCAAGAAATTCAGGAGCCAAACCTGCTCTGTTGATTTTACTCTGCTCAAGGACCAACTGTGGGCAGATGTACCCTTCAGCTGAAGGCAGTTTTCCAGCTGTGATGTGTTAGCCATGCAGTGCTCAGCTGGCCAAGGTGGTGTTTGAGATTGCAGGTGAGCATCAGTCACATCAGTCCTTGGCCGAATTTGTGCAGAGCACCTCCAAAGCAGGATGCTCATATGGCAACTGTGTGGCCATGGGATGCACGGAGGTGCAAGTGATGTATGTGTACGATGAATATAAAAAGGCATTTGCAGTATGTCAATACAGCTTTGCCCCTCATGCTGGCTAACCCTGAGTGCAGGCAAACTGAGCTGGGCCCTGCTTGCAAAAGGTCAGCTCAGGTATTCAGTGTTTTAAAAACTTAGAAGTCACACTGAAATTTATTCTGTCCAGGCTCAGGGTGCTGTGAAACTTTGCTGGGCCACCTGTTGGTGGCATCTAACTGACAGCTACACTGGCAAAAAGTCCTAGTGCAGATACAAGCAGTTAATAACAGTAGTTAATACAGTAGTTAATACAGTTTGGGGATAAGCTATTTGGATAGAGGTCCAGACTGTCTCTGGTGTGCTATGCTTTACCAGAAGGATATGCTGCAATCGCTCCTAAACTATTATCTGTGTTCTGTGGTCCCTGAAGTCACAGGGAATATTTTGCAACAGGTCTGTGGAGCCACACACCGAATAGTTATTGATAGTTGGTACAGTTCAGTCTGGCTCTTGGTGACCTCTGGGAAGTGTTGGGGGGGAATAGACTGGTGGTGCCCTACCATTACTCTTCACATACACAAGGGATAATTCAAGGGCTTTTGGAAAAATACACCCTGAGTCTACCCAGCTCGCACATCACATTTGAATTGTCCTTATAGCATCCTGCCTCTCATGGGTCCTGCTGTGAATTTTTGCACGGCATCAGTCTCTTTTTCTTCCTTTTTCTTTTTCTTTTTCTTTTTCTTTTTCTTTTTCTTTTTCTTTTTCTTTTTCTTTTTCTTTTTCTTTTTCTTTTTCTTTTTCTTTTTCTTTTTCTTTTTCTTTTTCTTTTTCTTTTTCTTTTTCTTTTTCTTTTTCTTTTTCTTTTTCTTTTTCTTCTTTGTCTTTTCCTTCTTCTTTTTCTTCTCTTTTTTTTGTTCCACATCAACCTTTGTATTTTCTTTCTTCTTGTTGATTGTTCTAAGCTACCTCATCATCAGAAGATATCCTTCCTCTCCACATCACCTCTCTAACTTTACAGCTACCACTCCAGCAAAACTGTCTTGTTGGCTAAACTTCAGCAACAGGCAAACTGCTGTCTTTGGATTCCTGGCTCTGAATGCAGTGGGGACCAAATGGCTCACGCTGACAATTCAAGTAATCGCTGCCTGACATTTCCACCACACTTTCATGCAGGCAAAACAGATGTCAAAATAAATGGCTTTTGCCTGTGAAAACGTCATGGTATTTTTACACTAAGCGTTTATCAGTCTGCCTCTGTGGGGCAAAAAGGCTGTTCAGCATGTCCACTTGGTAGGTCATATTTATGAGCTGAGATTACTCTGGCTAGATCTGTGGGCCTTACTTTTGGCTTTATCTCAGTTTACTTTTACTTACCCTCTTACTGTCTTTTCCTGTTCTCTCAGTGGCCAAGCGTATGGGAAGCCAACACAGAATTCCTTCCCAGTCACCGGGGTTACTGCAGGCTCCTTTATGGGCTTGTGAACTCAGCTTTATGAGCAGTCTTGGAGTAAGAAGATAAATACAAACTCTCCTTGCCATTTACTAGCTATATTGATATATTGATTAAGCACTGAAATGGCATGGCCTTTAACACCAAGTGCAGTGGGTTCTGCAATAAAATGTGGCTGAATACTTGCACAGCCCTGGTTCTCATTTGGCTCCAGTCTGGGTTGTGTCAAACTATACAACGGGGCAGATGTTTTCCTCCTTTCACTGGGTGGCTTTAACTAAATGCAGGATGTGTAAAACACTGCTTTTAAAATGTTAGCTAGATCATAAATTAGCTGGGTATTGCTTGCTAGAGTTTGAGTAACTCTTTTGGGTCACCTCCAGGGCTTTGTCGCAGGTCTGTGTGCCTGGGGGTCTCGCTAATGGGCTTCAGCATAGAGCTCAGAAACATGCTGTCCTGCCTGAAGGACAGAGCAGAAGGACAAGGTGCTAGGTGGAGGTATTGTGTGGGCTGAATCCAGAGTGTGGACCATGAACTGGTCTGAACTGTGAGCTCTGTTTTTAAATACGTGATTAGTTTGTGTTCCTGGGGACAATACAACATTTTTTGTCGATATTCTTGTTGCCCAGGTTGCCCTAGATCCACCTGTCAATGACCAGTCTTTGCCAAACTCTTCCCCCTTTGTATTTCATTTGCTTGCAGCAAAGCCCTGGTGAGTTTGAGGGACTGAATTTTTCCTTGGAAGAGCCCTTCAGCCACACACAGCAACATTCATGATCTGCACTGACAGAAAGAGAATGTAAATTGTCTGCTGCCTTCCGAGAATCTCTTAGCCTTGATTAATAGCGCAAAGCAACACGTGTCTGGTATGACACCAGACTAGGATGCAATAGCTCTAGACAGTTTAGCTGTCGTACAGGAGGGCCGATGTGCACATCACAGGGAATTTTTCCATGCCGGTGAAAAACTGCTCGCGGAACCAAATGCCCGTGAAGCCACTAGCCAGAATATACAACATAGCTTAGGCAATGT